TTGACCTGCAGGTTCAATGCAATTCCTATCAAATTACATCTGGCTTTTTGCAGAAATTGACAAGCTGATTCTAAAATTTATATGGGAATGCGAGAGACCCAGAAAAGCCAAAATCATTTAAAAAGTAAAACAAAGTTGGAGGACTCACTCTTCCCAATTTCAAAGCTTGCTGTAAAGCTACAGTAAACAAAACAGTGTGGTACCAATATAAAGATAGATATGTACACCAGTGGAATAGAATTGAGGGTACAAAAAATTAACCCTCACATTTACAGTCAATTAATTTTTGACAAGGATGCCAAGGTGATTCAAAGAGGAGAGAATAGTCTCTCAACAAATGGAACAATTGTATGTCAATATGCAAAAGAATGAAGTCGAACCTCTTTTATACACTATACATAAAAATGGACTCTAAATGTATAATAGACCTAAAGTGAAGAGTTAAAATGATAAAACTCTAAGAGAGAATAAGACTAAATATTTATGATTGTGGGTTAGGCAAAGCCTTCTTAAATATGACAGAAAAGCATAAGCAACAAAAGAAAAATTAGATAAAATTCTTTAAATTTAAAAGTTAAAACAAATTAAATTTATTAAAATGAAAAACTCTGGCAATTCAAAGAATACTACCAAGAAAGCGAAAAAAGCCCTGACCCCTGACCAGTGTGGCTCAGTTGGCTGGGCGCTGTCCTGTACAGCAACGGGTCCCTGCTCCGATTCACGTTTGACTTCTAGTCCCAACTGACGTTTTTGTCTCTTGCACAGATGTTTTTTTCCCTCTCTTTCTCCCTCTTTTCCCCTCTCTCTAAAAATAAATTTAAAAATATTTTTAAAAAGTGGACAGACTATTACAGAATGGGAGAAAATATGTGCAAATAAGATATATGGTAAGGTATTTGTATGCAAAATATAAAAGAACACTTACAACGAAATAATAAAATGACAAATAGTACAATTAAAAATGGGCAAGGGACCTGAATTTCTCCGAAAATGGCCAATAAGCACATGAAAAGATACTTGGTATGATTAGCCATTAAGGAAAGGCAAAACAGAACCACAATGAGGTACCACTCCCCACCGGCAAGGATGCTTATAGTAAAAAAGAGAGAGACAGTGACCAGTGCTGACGGAGATGTGGAGGAGCCGGAACCCTCACACATTGCTGGAGGGACTGTGACCTGGTGCCCCTCCTTTGGAAAACGGTCTAGCAGTTACCAAAAAGTTAAACATGCAATTCCCACGTGACCCAGAATTTTCACTTGTAGGTGTTTACCTGAGAGAAATGAAAACTTGCTCACACAAAAACTCGTACACGCATGTTCATAAATAATCAGAAAGTGGAAGCAAACCCAAACGTCCATAACTGACAAGTGGGTAAATCAAGCACAGTGCACTCATATACTGGGGCGTTACTCCGCACCAAAGGGGGCGCAGCACTGCCGCAGGCCACCACGTGGCGGCCCTGGGAACCGTCGTGCTGCGTGAGAGAAGCCGGACCAGGCGCATCCCTGGAGAAGGAAAGCCGGTCAGCGGCTGCCCAGTGCGGGGAGCCATGGGGTGTGGGGGCTGACGGACAGGCGGGCTTGTTCGGGGGGTGGAAGATGTTCTGAAATTGGCTGTGGTGATGGTCATACACCTTGGGAATACACTGAGAAACTTTTGAATTATATACTTTAGAAAGGTGAATCACATGTTATGTGAGTTATATCTCAATATAACGGTTAAAGAAAAAGAGATGGTAAAATACCCAGCACAGAAATTGTAAATAACGTGAGGAGCCCAGCGGGGGTGGAAGGCAGTGATGTGCGAGCCGGGAGACCTGGTGCTGTGCTGACCTCTCCCTCAGCGCCCGGGGCGCAGGGCCTGCGGCCTCGGTGCTCCCGTGGGCCCATAGAAATGTTTTAATTTCTTTTATTTTTATTTTAAAAAATTTTTAAAGATTTTATTTATTTATTTTCAGAGAGAGAGGGGACGGGAGGGAGAAAGAGAGAGAAAGAAACATTGATGTGTCAGGGGGACATCTATTGGTTGCCTCTCGCATGCCCCCTACTGGGGACCAGGCCAGCAACCCAGGCCTGTGCCCTGACTGGGAATCGAACCTGTGACCTTTCAATTTGCAGGCTAACACTCAGTCCACTGAGCCACACCAGCCAGGGCTAATGTCTTTTAAAATCAGATGAAAAAGCTAAACTTTTAGGTGAAGAAAAATTTCAACATATAATGTTAATATATTCATCTTTAGCTAATGAAGTTATAAAATATAATCTTAAATTTACTTTATTTTTTGTATAGGAGGGATCCAAAAAGCAGAAGTGCCCAGGGCCCACTGAAGTCTCAGTGCAGCCCTGGGTGCTGGTCTGAATTCAGCCATTAAAACTTTCCCTCTCTGGTTTTTGGGAAAACAATATGAACATTAAAGAAATCGAAAATAATCTGTTCAAAATCCGTCCACTCTAACTCATCCTCTATTTTCATTTCTTAAAATCCTCCCTTCTGGTTCTTGGCTGTCGACAAACACCTCTTTCAGCAGGTCCTAATCTCAGCACCACTGACCTGCTGCGTGGCGCGGACTGCTCACTCCGCGGCCCTGGGCCCTGTTTTCTTCTTCCGTGAAGGGAGGCAAGGGCTTGCATCTCCGGGTGGAGCCTAGAGAGGCACCTGCCCACCTGGGGCCTCACGACCGTGGAAGGGGTCTTAGGACAGGAGGCTGCTCCTTGGCCTGGCACTCAAGGCCGTTGGCGATCCGGCCTCACCTTCCTCCTCAGCGCCTCCCACCACTCCCCCACATCGGCCTTCGCATTTCCCTGGGCCTGGAAGGCAGTTCAGTAGCCGAAGGGCTTCAAAGCACCTTCTTAAAGAAGAATTTAGGAAGTCCAAGCAGACACATGAGTTGACAATGCTGGAAGCTTCCAGATCTTTCTCACCCCGGAATCACATTGTTTCGTTTTGACTCCAAATCTGTCTCCTTGCAGGGATCAGCAGTAAAATGCTTAAACCGGGGACTGCAAGCTCACTGTCGAGGTCACCCAGTCTAGTGTCTCAGGGGTGTGAGGCTCCTGCTAGGGCAGCGGGGGGTGGTCGGGACCCTGGCAAACCGGAGAGCGTGCCCCCCCCCCCCAGGGCGCTGCACCCGCCCGGCCCCTCTGGCAGCTGCGGTCTGGGGCTGTGGGCCAGCATGGCCGGCTCTTCTGATTCTTCAAGAGAAAGCAGAAGTCTGGATTTGTAGGCAACAACTTTCGTATTCTTAGGGTCTTGTGTGGGTCACACAGAATGTGCTTGTGAGTGGGTGGGTGAGCGCGTCCTCCATGTGCGCCCTTCACAAGGAAGGGCCCGGAGCCCGGGCCGGTCTTACTCATCACTGCATCCTCAGGGGCCAGCACGGTGCTGGGGCATCAGGGAGGCCTTCGAGGAAAGGCCGAAGAAGCGAAGGCTCTTATAGGCATAATATTTGGGTAAAGGCATGCACTCATTCATTTCCTGTTTGCTCATTTGTTCATTGTTTACTTATTCATTCATATACTCCAACAAATATTTCCTGAACACTCACTATGTAGCAGGCAGTAGTCTAGGCAAGAGGGTGCAGCGGCAGGAGATAGGAGGAGTATCTGGGCAGGGATGCTTGGAATGTTAAATAGATTGGTTAGGAAAGGCCCCTGAGAAGGCAGCGTTGGAGGAAGGTGATGAAGGAGAGGCCAGACCATTTAGCCACCTGGGGGAAGAATGCTCCAGGCTGAAGGAGCCGCAGCAGCCTGTGCAGAGGCCCACGGCAGGGGTGTGCCTGCCACGTGAAGAGGTCAGCCGAAGGCCTAGGTGTCTGGAGTGGAGAGAGCCGTTGGGAAGGGGTTGTTAGGAGATGAGGTCAGGGCGGTGATGAGGGGGTCAGATCACACAGGGCTTGGTGGGCCACGGTGAGGACATAGGTTCTGACTCTGACTCTGAGTTGGGAATCATAGGAGGGTCCTGAGCGGAGAAACAACCTCATCTTGGGTTATACCAGGATCCTTCCGGCCACTGTGTGGATAAGGGCGGGAACAGGAGGGGCGCACAGAGGCTACTGCCAAAAACCAGGTGGGAGATGGTGGAGGCGGGACCAGGGGAGGTGATGGGAAGTGGTTGATTCTAGATGCGATGCAAAGCTGGAGCCACAGTTCAGATGCGAAGAAGTCAGAGCAGGAAAGAGCAAGGCTTTGGCCAGAGCCCCTGGGAGGTGGGGTCGCTGCTCAGGGAGCTGGGCGTGCACCCAGGACGTGGAGCCTGCCCTCGCGGGGCCGCGGCATGGGGGACCGTCCACCCAGGAGTCACACGCACAGGAAGAGTTCTAAGGTGGCTGGGCGCTGTACGGAAGGCCGACACGTCATGAGAGCTTGTAACAGGGGGAGTGTGTTCTGGCAGGGGACCAACCCGTGTGGCGCCCCCACAGCGGGAGGAAACTCGAGGACACAGGAGCTGAGAGGAGGGAGGTGGGGGTGTGGGTGGAGAGGCCGCTGGGGGCCAATCCTGGGTCCGCATGGACAATGTGGCCCTTATCCTTCGGGAAAAGATCAGGGGGTTTTGAGCAAGAGCGTGTGAGGGCGTGTGTTTGATGCGACCAGAGAGCTGTGCGTTGTGGAAACACCCGTCTGGCTTCAGTGTGGAGCGAGGCCAAGGGACTGGACGGAGGCCGGAGTGGAGGCCAGGGGAGCCTGAGGGAGCCCAGTGAGGGGCTGCAGCCCTGGTCCTGGTGGGCGCGGAGGGCGTGGAGGCCGTGGGAAGGGGTCCCGGGCTTTGAGGGGATGGGAGTGACAGGGCGGGATTGGGTTGGGAGGTGAGAGAGGAAGCAGAGCTGTTCGGCCTGCCCCTGCAGGTTCATTACTGTTCCAGGAGTAAGTGTCGGAGAAAGATGCCACTTGGCTGAGAGACACTCGGGGCCCTCGGCCACGAGGCTCACGGGACAGGGAGAGGCAAAAGCCTACAGTGTTCACTTCCTCTCACATTCTGAAAGCCCTTCTTTTCTTTTCAAGGTGAAAAATGTCGCAGCTTCATTGACCTGGCCCCAGCATCGGAGAAAGGTAAGTGTGGCGCTGCTCAGGTGTGCAAGACTTGCTCTCTAGAGATGCGTCCCTGCCCAGGTGGCTGCTGGCAGCCCTGTGAGAGCTTCTGCTTCCGCGAACCTGGCCACGGAGTCCAGGTTTGCAAAGCTCCAAGTTTCTCAAGCAGCCGGTGCAAGTGGGAGAGGAAGATGGTCTTGCCCTCCCTGCCCAGTGGGGCAGTGCTGAGAACTCTTACATGTCCCTTACTTCCAGGGTGCACTGGGGCTGGGCAGGAGGTAGGGCGTGTGAGGGGAGGAAGCCCGATGTCCCTTCTCTGTCATCTTGCAGGGGGAGGTCCGGCTATGTGGACACTGCTGAGCAGAGAAATGTCACTCACTGGTGTGCTGGGCCAGCAGCAGGGACTCGGAGCCACGGAGGGCAGCGGGAGGGTGCTGGAGAACAGCCTGGGTGTGGGGCAGGCACAGCAGTCGGTGCTGCTGCAAGTCATCGAGATCCGAAATAACGGGCTTCAGGGGAGAAATGTAAAACTCTTACCTCTAAAAGTTTGAAAGTTGGCCGTTCAGGGAGGCTCTGCTCCATGGAGTCCTCAGGATCCAGGCCCCTGCTGCCCCCCCCCCCCCCCATCACCCCATGGCCTCTGTCTTCATGGTCTAAGCTGCTGGCGGCAGCTCGGGCTGTCACAGCTGCATTTGAGGAAGCAGGAGGGACGGAGGCAGAGGAGAAAGGCACAGCCTGCACGTCCCCTCTGAGGTTCTCAGAAGTCGCCCCATGACACCTGCTCGTGTCTCCTTGGCCAGAACTTAGCTGCAAGGCAGGCTGGGAAGTGGGGTCTTTATCTTGGGCAATTCTGTACTCAGCTACAAGTCAGGGGTTTTATTCTTGTGGAAGACCAGGAGAATGGATACCAGATGATTCACTGCCACAGGGCCGTAGGGCCACTGCCCCTCTGCCACCAAGGAGAACATCTGCCAGGAGAGAGCAAGACTGCAGGTGTCCTCGGACAGCCCGGGGGTGAAAGAGGGCCCGGGTCCTGGGAGTCGGGCTGGGGGAACCAGGGCAGAAGTCTCGCCATGTGAACTGCTTCAACCTGGGGGCCCCGGCACCTTGGCTCAGGGGAATTTCTTAAGTCCAGGGCATGTGGCCACCACCCCAGCCCCCCAGACTCCTCTGTGTAGGGTCCGGAGGTTCAGGGACCTGGAGGGCTATGTCTCTGACGTCACGGAGGCTGGTGATGTTTCTGCCCTTCGGACACCATCTCCTTGTAGAGCTCTGAGCAAATGGCAGTCAGTGAGACCAGGGGACATATGATAGGGAGCTCACACGGCCCTCAGGTCCCCCTCAGAGCAAGCTCTGGGCAGTGGGGATGGCTTCCCATTTCCTTGGTTTCTCCGTGGCTGTGTCTCCAATTAGTCGCTCCACGCAGCCTCCCTGAAGTCTCAGTCTGAGCCTCTCTGGCCCTGGCTTCCAAGCTGAGGTCTCTGGGAAGCACTATGAATTTGCCTGCTGATAAACAGCTGGTGTTTATTGAACAGTTACTATATGCCAGGTACTTCACGTGTTTTACCTGACGACCTCCCCATAGCCTGTGAGGGAGGGGCTGACATTCTCACCCCACTGGACAGATGAGGCAACTGAGGCTTAGAGACAATAAGCAATTTAAGCCTCATCTCAAGGGGCAGAGCCCGCACTCCGTACCCTTCTGTTGTACTACGTCTCAGAAGCCGCTACCTGGAGGCAGCCCTCCAGCGGCTCCCCAACCACCTGCAGGGCTGTGGAGTTGTCAACTCACCTCCAAGTCTGCCTTCTGGGGAGCAGGGCCCATGTGCACACACATGCACCAAGTCTGAGTGTGTGTGTCCATGCACAGGTGCTCCTGGGAGAATGCTGTGCATGTGTCTCATGTGTGCACACATTCTTGCTGATGTGTGAGCATGGAGGCATGGGCATGTGTGCAAATGTGAGTGTGTGTGCATGTCACGTGAGCATGTGGGTAGATGCGTGTGTTCACAACTGCGCACACGTGAGTGACAGTGTGTATGTGCACATACATGTGCATGCATATGATCGTGTGAATACATGTGTGTACATGTGTGCCCTTGTGCAGTGACAGGCAGAGTGCTGGGCCTCCTTTTGGAAACACCAGCCCTTTAGTCCTGCTTCTTCAACAAGGACCAAGGGCCCCAGAGAAGGTGTATCTCCACGTTTTGTTGGCCCCGTGGTTTTACTTTCAGCACGCGGTGGCCACGCCGGGGGCCTTTTGGCAGTGTCTGTAAGTGTGTATGAGGAGGCTGAGTGGGCTGGTTTGCCCCCAAGTTGCAGGATGATTTCCATGCACTTGCTGCCTCTCGAGTACTCTAGGGTCGGGGGGCGTGCTCACGGCAGCCCCGGCGGCCTCTCCCCAGCTCCCCCAGCCTGGCCCCCCCGGAGGCACCTGCAGGAGTGGGCTGCTCGCCCTGCCCTCCCCTCACTGTGGGTTTCACAGGTGAGGGGCCCGAGCTGCAGAGATGAGTGAATTGTTCGGGGCCACACAGGAGTTGGGGGCCGATGGCTGGTGGAGGAACATGCATCTGCCAAATTCTCCCCTGCACCTGCTTGCGCCGTGACTTCCCTCCTGGTCTGCAAATAGGACAGTAACCATGGCACAGACGCTAACTGGCCCACGCAATGCCTACTGCACACCAGGTACCATTCTGAGAGCTCCACACACAGCGGCTCATTTAATCCCCAGTGTACAGTTGAGGAAACTGAGGCAGGGAGCATGTGCTGCCACCCCTGGGCCTGGTCGCAGGCTTTGAGGATGGCTGGCAGCTGCTGGTGCTGGAACTGGCCCAGCTAGATTTTGGGGTGTATGTGTGTTTGGGACTCACTAATGGTGTATTCTGTTCCCTCTGCCTGAACTGCTTGTCCAGGTCTCCCCTGGTAACTGTCACCCAGAAGTGACCCAATAAATGTTTGGGTAAGGTAGCAATTCTTCCTTCCCTCCCAGACCCCAGTAGAGTACCCTCTGTGTGCCGCCATTTTTCACCCCTGAACAATGGTGTGGCAAGCCCTGGCCTGGGCCTTGGGGAGTGCGGGTGGGTGAGGCAGAAGGGCTGCCCTGCAGAAGCAGGAGACGGCCGGGCAAACAGGGTCTGACCTGGTGGGAGGGCTCCGGCCGTGGGCAGAGACGCCCCCTTGCTGGACCAGGCTGCACCTCAGACCCCTGCTCAGAGTCCATGGGGGTGTTCAGGTTTCCTCCCATCGCCACATCAACCAGATTCCCCAGCAAAGACTTGTACCCGGTCATTTGTCAAAGTGTGAAGTTCCCAGTTCCAAAGCCCCAGGTGGGAGCTTGCGCTCACAGGTAGGTGGGCTCTTGCTGTGAGTGAAGGAAGAGTGAGTGGGTGGACGAATGACTGAATGAACAAGCTGAGCTTCGCACAGTTCAGGTTTGCTGTCACACTGTTGCTCTGGAACCTCCCCGTTACGATTCCTCAGTGCCTGTCAACGCTGGGTGGAGACCTCACGGCACCAAGAAGGAACCGTGCACGACCGCTCCCAGTGGCATGGAGGTCGAGCAAAAGAAGCCAGATTCAAAAGAACATATACTATGCGATTCCATTTCTATAAACCTGGAAACCGGGCAAAACGAGTCTCTACTGTTAGGAACCAGGACAGCGGTGGGCCTCGAAGAGTGGGCTGGACCAAAGGGGAGCGCGCATGCGGAGTACCCCCTCCCCACCCCCCACCCCCTGCACTGCCGGCGCTCCAGTCCTCAGTCTGACTGCTGGTGTCACAGCTGTGCTCAGTCTGTGCAGGCTCCTCGGCCACACTGGCCGTGCACGCATTACTCTGTGTCTGTGGGAGACATCAGTGGAAAGTAAAACCAAACTCCTCCTACTGAAGTCTTAATTATCCGTCTAAAATGGAGATTCAACTACATCCGACTCCTGCTTAAAACCCTTTTGGGGCTCCCACTCACACAGGACGTCTTAGCAGGGCCTGCCTGCCGTGTTCACTCCACCTTCCACAATCCTCAATGTGGCCTGGTGTGCCAGCCTGGCCTCCCTACTGGCGCACACTCCCCCAACTGTCCATCGTCCCCAGGGCCCCGGTGCCTTTGCACATGCTCTTCCCTCTGTCTGGACTGCCTTTCCGTGCTGTGGGCCTCACAAGTTCTGTTCACCCTTTTAAAACCCAACTTAGACATGATCTCTTCTGAAACGCCGCCCTGAGCCCCAGAGGTCCCTACTGTGCCTGGTGCTGTTAGCACTCATCACACTGCATCGAGGTCATCGTCCAGCAGACTGGACTCTCCCTGGGGATGGGCACTGGATCTTGTCCTTCCTGTGGCTCCTGTGCCCCAGATGGGGTTGGTACACTTCAAAAATTTGGAAAAGTTTATTGAATGAGTGAATGAGTGGATGAATGAATGAATGAATGAATGAGGACCAGGGGCTACATTACAGACACTGGGTGGCCCATTTGGGTTCAGAATCCTGGGTCCTGACTTTTGGAAGCCACCTGCCTGAGCTGAGCTGGGATTTAAGTCATCCCTGCTCCCTGCCCCTGTTCCCCAGCAAGCCGGGAGTTCTGGCAGCCGCCAGCTGGCAATTTCTGTGGAACAATGTCCAGAGCTTGTAGGTCTCCTTTGTTTGAGATTTCAGAGCTGTGTAACGGCATGGTGGCTCCGTGGCCACAATCCCGAGTCCTGCCTGAGTCATTTCTCACTTCAGTTTCTATAATAGTCTCTGGTTGGTTCCCTCAACCTCTCTCTGTTCTCCCTCTGAAGTCTATTTACAGTTCTGCTGCTCACTTAATTTATGTAGTGCACTTTATTGATTTATGTCACAGAACTGAAACGTGCATAGATCAGAACATGCTGAGCAGGGAAGGGAGACAGGACCAGCCCCCACAGCTGCCCAGACTCTGACATGGGAGCTGAATGGGTCAGCCAGCTGGCTGCAGCCCAGACATGCTGGGTGGTCAGTGCAGCCTGTGCATTAATTCTGGGTGGTTTGTACCCCTGGCTGTCTGGA